GAAAGATTCTTTTATATGAGATATAGTATTCAAATAAAGAAAACATCATAAACCTGATCAGAATTTGTGATTTTGGTTCCCCCAGACCTTCTCTTTGAAGTCTTTTCTTAATCTTCACACAGAATCAAATATTGCCCCCCTCCACTGAGTACCCATCTTGAACACATTACGGCCCTCATTATTTTTATGTCTATTTCCCTCTGCTAAACTTTTGGTCCTTAGATGACCAGCAGTATCATGTTCTATAGATCTGTGGTCCCATTTTCTAGCACAGAGCCCTGGCAGGTAATAGTCCCGATATATTTTCATTAGGTAAATGAAAATTGACTATTTTTACCTAATCCTAAGCACTTACAGTATATCTAAATATTTTTATATATATAAAATACAGTTAACTATGAATCCTGATCCCATTAAGAGCATCAAAATATTACCTATATGTGTAAGTTTTCATATGACTGGCATGCATTCTTATATGTATAACATCCATCATGTATGTGCATATACGTCTCTATCAAGGGTTGGCAAACAATAGCCCACATGCCAAATCAGTTTTTTTGTGGCTCTCAAGCTAAGGATGCTTTTTACATTTTCTTAAATAATTGGAAAATATCAAATGAAGAATAATAAATTGTGACATGTAAAAATTATGTGGAATTCAAATTTCAGTGTTGATAAAGTTTTATTTGAACACCTATAACCCACTGCCATGAGTTGATTCCAACTCATAGTGACCCTACAAGACAGGGCAGAACTTCCCCATAGAGTTTCCAAAGAGCACCTGGTAGATTCGAACTGTCGACCTTTTGGTTAGCAGCCGTAGCACTTAACCACTACGCCACCATGGTTTCCTATTTGAACATAGTCACTCTCAATTCTTTACATATTGTCAATGGCTGTTCTTGTGCTACAGCAGCAGAGCTGAATAGTTACAGCAGAGACCATAGCACTACAAAGCCTAAAATACTATCTGACCCTTTACAGAAAACTTCTGATGACTATGATCTATATCTAAAGGCATGACTGCATTTATTTTATTTTTATTGATAGTTTCACATTATAACAATTTTACAAGTGACAAAAATTTCAAAGGAAAACGTAGGTTTCAATATAAATTTGAAGATATTATGGTATGATATAATCATATAACAAGGGGATACTTCGTGGTTTAAAGTCAGTAAAGGTGTGCATCAGGGTTGCATTCTTTCATCATACCTATTCAGTCTGTATGCTGAGCAAATAATCCAAGAAACCAGACTATATGAAGAAGAATGGGGCATCAGAATTGGAGGAAGACTCATTAACAAACTGCCTTATGCAGATGACACAACTTTGCTTGCTCAAAGTGAAGAGGACTTGAAGCACTTACTGATGAAGATCAAAGACCACAGTCTTCAGTATGGATTACACCTCATCATAAAGAAAACAAAAATCCTCACAACTGAACCAGTAAGCAACATCATCATAAATGGAGAAAAGACTGAAGTTGTCAAGGATTTCATTTTACTTGGATCCACAATCAACACCCACGGAAGCAGCAGCCAAGAAATCAAAAGATGCATTGCTTTGGGCAAATCTGCTGCAAAAAACCTCTTTAAAGGTATCACCTTGAAGACTAGGGTGCACCTGACCCAAGCCATGGTATTTTCAATCGCATCATATGCATGCAAAAGCTGGACAATGAATAAGGAAGACCGAAGAAGAATTGATGCCTTTGAATTGCGGCATTGGCAAAGAATACTGAATATACCATGGACTGCCAAAAGAACGAACAAGTCTGTCTTGGAAGAAGTACAACCAGAATGCTCCTTAGAAGTAAGGACGGCGAGACTACGTCTCACATACGTTGGGACATGTTGTCAGAAGGGATCAGTCCCTGGAGAAGGACATCAAGCTTGGTAAAGTACAGGGTCAGTGAAAAAGAGGAAGACCCTCAACAGGATGGACTGGCACAGTGGCTGCAACAATGGGCTCAAGCATAACAATGACTGTGAGCATGGCGCAGGACCAGGCAGTGTTTCGTTCTGTGGTACATAGGGTTGCTATGAGTTGGAACTGACTCACCGGCACCTAAGAACAACAACATCATAGAATTAAGATTAAGTGATGAAACATTCTAAGTTACTTTAAAGAATAATGCAGCCTATTTAGACATCACCAACATAGTATGGTAGACCTTAAGGTTATACTTAAGGTTATAATCAATTATCCACTAATTGTTGTTGTTGTTGTTAGGTGCCATTGAGTCAGTTCCGACTCATAGTGATCCTGTAGGACAGAGAAGAACTGCCCCATAGGGTTTCCAAGGAGTGGCTGGTGGATTTGAACTGCCGACCTTTTCGTTAGCAGCCGAACTTGTAACCACTACGCCACCAGGGCTCCTAACCCACAAATTGTCCAGTACTTATTTACTAATTATCCAAAGACACAATCTTTTGGCTTTCATCACTAAAAATTTAAAGTATGATGGGATTTTCAATGTTAATGTCACTCTATGCACTTGAGTTGAAATATTTATTAAAGTTAGTGTAAAATGGCAGAGATCTTTTTGTCATATTAATAATTTAAATTATGAAAGTCTATAGGCTATGAGGCGCACTGGTAGCATAGTGAAGAACTTGGCTGCTAACCAAAAGGTTGGCAGTTCGAATCCACCAGCTGCTCCTTGGAAACCCTATGGGGCAGTTCTACTCTGTCCTATAGGGTCGCTATGAGTAGGAATCAACTCAACAGTAATGGGTTTATAGGCTATGAAGGCGATTAAGTTTGCGTGTACACAATCTACTTCAACTGCTCTGAGTGACCTGACTGTTGTTTGGCTGAATTATCCACTCCATTAACTGATAAGTAGTTAGAAAACCAATATATTCCCCTCTTTGTATGAAATCGTGAAAAATCTAAGAAAATAACAGTATGGGTCTAAAGAATCTAATGTTAGAATACTAATTGATAATAAAAATATAATCAACTGTTTTCAATAAATAACTAACAGTCATGTTCATTTCTCCTGTTTCTTTATAAGTACGGAACACAGAAAAGGAGTGCAAACATAGAATAGCAACAGAAAGCAAACCAGAGGGGCAAATCCACACGGCCAAACACATGCAGTGTACCATCATCTCTCATACTTGTTGCAGAAGAGGGGGTGTTGCAACTCAGCAACCAGTCTGCAGTATTTAAAACAGTCATGTTGTCCCCTGAGAACAGGAACAGTATAAGGGTTCATTGTCTGAATGCCTGCTGGGTGTACATGAATAATATTCAAAGCTTGCACCAACTTTTGACCTTAATGCCAAAATGTTAACTGCATTGTATGCCTTTTACATTTTAGTTTTTCAAGTCCGTTTTAGTTCAGTGAAATCTGCGTACATGACGATTAGTGAACTTCAAGGTAGTGTAATTCTATAGTGCTTGGGTTTTTAAACTTATTTTTTGCACCCAATTTAAGGTTTAAATGTAAATGTTCTTACTCCAGAAGACATCACTAAATAATCTTATAAATTTGCAATCTTATCATTAATTAGTTGAAATTACATATGTATGTTTAGAGACAAATAAACATTATAAACAAGGAAAATGTTAATCTACAAAGGGTTGGATGTAAAACATTAAATACAGGCAACTTGCAATGCACATAACTTTACAAAGAAAATTTTAGATTACACAGTTATTCTAAAATAAATGGGAAGAGGTGTATTCATTTCATAGATAATTATTAAAAATTTTAAAGAAAATATGATGTGGCAAATTCTGGTATCTAGTAATATGAACAGTTTGTAATTTAAAAGACATTTCATATAATTTTTAATGTACTGAGTAAAACACTACAACTACAAAATTTTTGAATAATTTAAAATGCAGCTTATATATAAAATATATAGTCTCTATAGGTACATGTGCTGATACAAAAATCAAGTACTATTTCCTTACATGGTGGGGCAGAATACTGGAAGTAATAACTGTTATTGTTGCCATACAATATGGCATAAGTAGGGCTAATCAAATGAGAAAGTATCTGGTAAAAATAAAATTCTTATTTTAAATACATGTTAGGTATTATTCTCTTTGAAAAGAAAATGCAGCAGATATGGATATTTTTGTATTCTCAAAATAATTTTTAAAAAAAATCGATCTTTAGAAAAAAATTTGAGGTAGTCTTTTCTGTTATAATTCAAAATAAAACAAAAAAGTGGTATACTTTTTTTTGTAAGTTTGGGGTCCAAATCCTCTGGTTACATTCTCTAAATTTTTTTGAATATTTTCAAGGACAGATACTAAAGGGAAGGTTCACTAAATGCCCTCAAAATGTTGCTCAGGGCTAACTATCTCTTTTGAATGTTTCCAGCTATAGAGGAGGAGCAAATGCTTCAAGAAAATCAACAGAACAATAAATAATACATTCACTATATATTCCTTAGCTTTAATGATGACTATGCTATTGATAAAAAGATACTTACTTATTAGCAGATATCTAACATGAAATTAAAGCAAATATTGAAATATGATTCTGGGAATCTCGAAGCCAACTCTTCAGAAAAAGAATAGACCTGACTATAAGACATAAAATGATACTCGTGAAGAGTGCGCTTCTTTAAATCAAGTAGATACACGAGACTAAACGGGCAGCTCCTGTCCAAAGGCAAGATGAGAAGGCAGAAAGGGATAGGAGCTAGCTGAATGGACACAGGAAATCCGGGGTGGAAAGGAAGAATGGGTGGTCACGTTATAGGGATAGCAACTAGGGTCACATAACAATGTGTGTATAAATTTTTATATGAGAAACTAACTTGAGCTGTAAACTTTCACCTAAAGCACAATTTAAAAAAAAAAGAAATATGATTCTGGGAATCTTCTGGGTGACATTAACTATATCTTTTTTGGTTATAATGCCGATTATGCTATTGATAATAAGATATTTATTTATTAGAAAATCCTTAACATGTGAAATCAAAGCAAACAATGAAATGTGATTCTGCACATCCTCTGGGTGATACACTTACCTCCTGTCCCATTTGTGGTGACTGATGTACTGCTAAGGCTAGTTTTATCCAGCTTGGAGTTACCAGGTGTTTCACCACCTCCAAGAGCATGAGGACTTGCTAGGTCCTGCATTTCCATAGACCTGTTGGAGCAAGAAACAGCAGAGCAAATGCTGAAGTCTCAGCAATTAATTCTTAATAAACTACATATATTGTTATACTGAATATATATGTCATCTCACAATAATAAGAATTGAAACCAGTAGCTAACACTTCTTCGTTAACCAGGAGAAAATGCCAGCCATTATAAATAAACAAACAAATAAATGCAAGCTTCTATGCTTGCTAAGCCTCATACTTTGTTTATTTGCAATCTTACAAGGATTCCATACAATAATGTAAAGAGTAAAGCAGCTTCCATCATCTTGGCAGTTTAAGTTGCTATAGAGACCCACCCTCCTACACTGATCACCTCTGCTATGAACCTGTAGAAATTGTGATAACATTTAACTCAAAATTTGACGTTCCTGGGGCCAGTAAGGAAGAAGTCAGTAGTCAGAAATAAAGTGTAAACTCAAAGCCTGAGCAGAAGCTTCTACTTGACCTTGCTGACCAAGGGGGCTGAAAAAAAGCCCAAGGGCTGGGGGCAAGAGTTGTAACACCTTTAATAATCATTCAGGATAGGAGACTTTGACTTATGTCTATTCCAGAGAATGTGCTGGAATTAAAACCCTAAATGAAGCTGGGACTGAGGAAAAACTGATCTTTTCAAAAGGAAACTAGAGAAAAAGAATTGCACAATGGCCCAAGGAAGCCACACATGCTTCCACGAAAGAAGGAAAACTCACGATAAAAGCAAAAATTGAGAAAATTTGTCAACATTGTCCTGCAGTCCAAAAATACCAGAGGAAAATCTTTGGCTGAAAGAAATTAAACCATATGGAAACTCAGATCTACATAAAGGAATAAACAACACCAGAAATGTAAATACACAAATACTGAACAAAAATCTTTTATTTTTGCCTTAATTTCCTTAAAGACATCCAACTGAAACAAAAATAATAGCACTGGATAGTTGGATTTATAATATAGTATAGAAGTAAAATATGTAACAACAATAGCACAAAGGATGGTGAGGGTGATATTATATTTCTTAAGACTCTTTCATTTGTTATGAGGTAGCATAATAACTTGGAAAAGAGGTAAGTATTATATAGTAAAGTATTATGAAGTACATAAAGTAATTCATACCATTACATATTAATGAGAAAAATGCAAATAGGTACAACAAAAAGCCAATCAAATAATTAAAATAAACTATTAAAGATGTATTTGATTAACACCAAAGAATCCAGGAAAAGATAAAGGAAGAAACAAAAAATATACTGGAAAAATAGAAAACATGTACCAAGATGGCCAATTCAAAACCAACCATATGAATGACTACACTGGACATGAATGGAATAAACTCTTCAGTGAAAAGATGAGGATGTGATATATTGCACTAAAAAGAGCAAGACTCATCTAGAGGGGGTTTACAAGAAAAGCACTTTAAATATAAGCACAGAGTGATACTATGGTGAGCTGCCCAAATCCCCCTCTCCAGGATTAAAGAACTTATTCCTACAGCTGAGGGGAAGTGTTTCTGACAGGGAGCACTCAATTGAGTCCTTTTTCCAGGATTTTCCCTCAACTAAAAAGAGTCACTTTGCCCAAGATTACACCCTTTTGGGGGACAGCCCTCATCTAATGACTGGTGAATGAAGGAGTATAAAGACTAAGCCCACATGTCACATGGGTCAACCTAGTATACAGCTCCCCATAAGATCAGCTGAGACCTTTGTTTCAGTTGCACTGAAGGTCAACTTATCTCTAAGACCAATACTGCTTCTTTTATTCCCTCAAAGGTGTTGATCTGAGAGCACAACCCAATAAACTCCTGGCACACCAATCCTCCTCTCAGTATTTGCTTCCTGGGAGCCCAAATGTTGATAAAGCACAAGTAGGTTGAAGAAAAACTGATAGAAAAAAATTTATAATGCAAATAATAAGATGCATGCTATGGCTATATTAACATCATGCAAAATAGGCCTCAAGATGGAGAATATTAGCAAATATAAAAAGGGAAATTTATCAGGAAAACAACAATTCTAAATGTGCATGTATCTAATACCAGAGCTTCAAAATATGCAAAACAAAACCTAATTAAAGGAAAAAAGAGACAAATCCACATTCATAGTGGGATGTTTTATAACAATTTTTCACAGTAACTGATAGAATAAACATATATATACTGTTTTTATATATAATATACATTAATACTCAATAATTACAGAATACACAATATTTTCAAGCGTGCATGGAATGTCCATCCAAAGGGGGTATGTGGTTGTTGTTAGGTGCCACTGAGCTGGTTCTGACTCACAGTGACCCTATGTACTACAGAACAAAACACTGCCCAGTCTTGCGCCATCCTCATAATCATTATTATGCTTGAGTCCACTGTTGCAGCCACTGCGTCAATCGATCTTGTTGAGGGTCTTCCTCTTTTTCACTGACCCTGTACCTTACCAAGCATGATGTCCTTCTCCAGGGACTGATTACTTGTGACAACATGTCCAAAGTACGTAAAACTTAGTGTCACCATCCTTGCTTCTAAGGAGCATTCTGGCTGTACTTCTTCCAAGACAGATTTGTTCGTTCTTTTGGCAGTCCATGGTATATTCAACATTTTTCGCCAACACCGCAACTCAAAGGCGTCAATTCTTCTTCAGTCTTCCTTATTCACTGTCCAGCGTTTGCATGTGCATGATGCAGCTGAAAATACCATAGCTTGGGTCAGACGCACCTTAGTCTTCAGGTGACATCTTTGCTTCTCAACACTTTAAAGAGGTCTTTTGCAGCAGATTGGCCCAATGCAATGCATGTTTTGATTTCTTGACTGCTGCTTCCATGGGTGTTGATTGTGGATCCAAGTAAAATCAAATCCTTGACAACTTCAATCTTTTCTCCATTTATCATGATGTTCTTTATTGGTCCACTTGTGAGAATTTTTGTTTTCTTTATGTTGAGGTGTAATCCATACTGAAGACTGTGGTCTTTGACCTTCATCAGTAAGTGCTTCAAGTCCTCTTTACTTCCAGCAAGCAAGGTTGTGCCATCTGCATAACGCATATTGTTAGAGTCTTCCTCTAATCCTGATGTCTCATTCACTTCATATAATCCAGTTTCTAGGATTATTTGCTCAACATACAGACTGAGTAAGTACGGAGAAAGGATACAACCCTGAGACACACCTTTCCTGATTTTAAACCAGTATCCCCTTGTTTTGTCCTAACAACTGCCTCTTGATCCATGTACAGGTTCCTCATGAGCACAATTAAGTGTTCTGGAATTTCCATTCTTTGCATGTTATCCATAATTTGTTATGATCCACACAGCCTTTGCATAGTCAATAAAACACAGGTAAACATCTTTCTAATAGTCTTTGCTTTCAGCCAGAATCCATCTGACATCAGGAGTGATATCCCCAGTTCCATGTCCTCTTTTGAATCTAGCCTGAATTTCTGGCAGTTTCCTGTCGATATACTGCTGCAGCCGCTTTTGAATGATCTTCAGCAAAATTTTACGTGCATATGACATTAATGATATTGTTTGATAACTTCTGCATTATCACCTTTCTTTGGAATGGACACAAATATGGCTCTCTTTCTAGTTGGCTGGCCGGATAGCTGTCTTCCAAATTTCTTGGCACAGATGAGTGAGCACCTCCAGTGTTGCATCTATTTGTTGAAACATCTCAACTGGCATTCCCTCAATTCTTGGAGCCTTGTTTTTCATCAATGCCTTCTTTGCAGCTGGTACTTCTTCCTTCAGTACCATCAGTTCTTGATCATATGCTACCTCCTGAAATGGCTGAACTTCTACTAGTTCTTTTTGGTACAATGGCTGTGTGTATTTCTTCTATCTTCTTTTGATGCTTCCTGCGTTGTTTAATATTTTCCCCTTAGAATCCTTCACTATTGCAACTCGAGGCTTGAATAGTTTCTTCAGTTCTTTCAGCTTGAGAAATTCTGAGCGTGTTCTTCCCTTTTGGTTTTCTATCTCCAGCTCTTTGCACATGTCATTATAATACTTTACTTTGTCTTCTCAAGCTGCCCTTTGAAATCTTCTGTTCAGCTCTTTTACTTTATCATTTCTTTCTTTTGCTTTAGCTACTCGACATTCAAGAGCAAGTTTCAGAGTCTCTTCTGACATCCATTTTGGTC